TGACACGTAACACGAAGTCAGAACTATTTCCAGGTAATAAAAGAATGGAGAAATGAGGAAAAAATATTTATATTTTTATATATACACGTTAAATATAAAGAAACTAGTGGTGCATGGCATCGTGCCCTAAGGCAAATTGCTGGTACTTACGTAACGTACCGTGAACTAAATTATTAAAAAAAACTTTGCAAAACTTTGAAAAAAATAGATTTTCGAAAAATTTTGAAATTTTTTAAAAAAATTTACTTTTTGAAAAATTTGTTTTTTTTTTATTTTTTCGTAAATTTTGAACATTTTTTTAAATCGGTTGATCCGTGTTTGCGAAATCGTATTCATTTTTTCTAAGGTATGCTAAAATGTTCAGAAACCTCTGAACCGTAAAGATATTATCCTCGTTTTCAAAAATAAAAAAAAGATACTAAATAGCAAACTTATCCTTAACTATATAACTATATTGACTAAGAAAATGATTATTTTATGACAACTCTATACTATAATTGGCCTATTGACATATTTTATAAAATCCCTCTTATATTTTATATATCTTAAAATTAAAGTAATTATTTTTTATAATTATCCTAAAATAATACTTTTGACCTATCTCATAAAATCTAAATAAATAAGATATACTTATATCTTTGTAGAATGTTCTTATACTTGACATATTCTATAATTTAATAAATATTTTATAAATAATTAAATCTATTTAATATCTTATTCCAAGTAAACTACAAGACAAGCAAGTTTTTCCCAAATTTTGATCATTGACTTATTTTATAAGTTACTCATTTACTCTACCTATTTTTTAATAAAAAAATAGGTAAAGTTTGATAAAAAATTATTATATTTCTTATAAGATAAGAAAGACCTTCTTAAATTTGACTTAATAAATTATTTAAGATTTTATTTCATGTCAAGCGCGAAATCTTATCCCAGAATTGGCTTTTGATTTATTTTGAAAATTATTTAAGAAATTGTTTTTTTTTTCTGCAAGATGTTCTAGACAAAATATTAACAAATTGTTATAATTTATATATTAACCAAAATAAATGATTTTAACTCATGGAAATTAGACAGTAAGAGTGAAAAACTTTGCCCAGGATAGGCATTTCAATTTGTTTAAAAGAGAATAGGTATTTAAACTTATCTTATAAGAATGATTTTATATTATGACAAGTTGATATTGTCAAGTAAGATAAGAAAGCTATTTATCCCACTTCTTGTTCTAAAAAGGTCCTGAGGTTTGCCAAAATGCAAATTTTGCGCTTTTTGGCCTCATGTTAATATTTTTTATGAGATAGATGAAGAATTCGGCAAGAAATTCGAGTTAGCCCCTCAATTACCCGCATGTGTTGCAAATATTAAGGTCCGCCACGCCCGTCCTTCTTTCTGGAGCACATTAACATATAAATTGGCTAATTAATAACAATAATAAACTAATTAATCAATTATTCAAATAATAAAAACATCATTTCCATAAAACTAGCAACGTGTGAGGTGTAAATTGTCATTCCAAACTGCCTACTCGATTTTTTGTCCCTCTCCATCACTAGGAAACAGAACGGGACGGCTATATCCGTTTAAGGTTGGTTCCTTTTTGATGTTTTGTCCTTGTTCACCTTCAAGGATAATCGTGTAAGCCGTCTCTTTCGCCAGGGGAAATAAATATCGTACCTACCTCGGGCACTGGGTCAAAAAATCAAGTAATAAATCAACAAATTAATCCTAAATAGGTCGAAATAAATAAATTTGGTTTATTTGTTTCTGGGAAACTCTATGATTATTTTTATAACAGCGTAGATAAGAATTTTGCAAACATTGATAAGGTTTTTTCTGTATTTTCTGTGAATTATTTTATTTAATCTTTCAAAGTAAATATTTGAAATTAAGGCAAGGTGTTGATGGCGCCTGAAAAAATTCAATAGGACACCCACCTGTATTGACAAATATACACACTCATATAATATACATACACACAAGTATAATATCATGTCATTGATAGTACCAATACTTTTTGTAAAATGTTCTACACTTTTAATTTTCATTGTCTACAATAGATAATTAAGGCTTTGGTTTTTACTCATTTGTTCAGTTGTTCGATTGAATAATTTTTTACGTAACTTATTAGGATTTCTGTTAACTTACTATAATAATTTGAACTAAATATTTCAGTGGAAATATCAGAATTACATTACCATACCGTAGTACAGAAAAATGTCGCTTTCGATAAAAAAATTTCGAGATATTTGAAGAAGTGTAGAAAAATGTCCCAAATATTTCACTGCATTTATCAAAATTTTGATTTCAAAGTCGTTTTATTCAAAACTTTTATATAGGAGTGAATGTAACTGTTGGCAAGGAATAGTAGTAAATTTTATCTAGTTTCTCCCTATCTAACTGAAAAAGAGTGCTTTCACATAACATTTGTGAGTTATTTGACAAAAACCAAAAAAAATGTCCCGAATTTTCTATTTTTCAAAACTTTTATATCGGACTGTATATAACTGTTGGCATGGAAATGCAGTAAATTTTATCTAGTTTCTCTTTATCTAACTGAAAAAGGATGCTTTCATATAACCGGTATTCCAAATTACCGGTAAACCGCCCGATTTTTCGGCGGTATTTTTACCGGTATTCACCCCGAAAATACCGGTAATTTCGGTATTTTTACATAAGCGCTATTTGATACATAATACACTAAAGTTTAAATTTCCCGGAACAAATTTATCTTTAAATTCCATAATCGCATAAACAGCTATATCTTCAAGTGATTCTATAGGATAAACAAATGTCAAATATTATCTCAACTCGTCATTAAACTGAATATTTATTGCTTCACTAAGGGATTCATATCGTGTTACAATGTTTGTTTCATCTTATGTAAAAATGTAACAGTTTTTAAGTGATATTTGCGCCAAAACATTTTATATCATACAGATTACCTCTACGTAATATTTTTTTTCTAACTTTATACATACTAATTATGATAATTACTAAATATTTCTGCTTCTTATTACAATTATAAAATATTATTTTTCGGAAACGTTTCGAAGTTTGAAAATACTATAGAAGCATCACATTGTTTTAAATAACAATATTCAACAATTATAGTAACTTATTATTTATCTTGACAAAGTATCCAATCTTAAATTAGAGTAGAAAATTATTTTTTTAAAATATTGTCGATTATGCTAATTTAACACATCGGATACAGACAATACAGTTTATTATAATAATGTAATATGATCTTTCATGAGTTTTTGGTCTTTCTTACTCATACGTTTGTTTTTGGTGAAAAGTACTCAATATACTCGATAGTGATAATGAATTAATTAAATAGGATATAATTTTGTTAAATTATTTTAAAAAAATTTTTGTTTTATTTTATTGTTTAGTTGAATATAGTTGTAGTTGTATATACATTTTATTATATTTGTACTAGTAACTTTCAATTTTGTTTACGTTTGTTAACTTCCCGTAGGGTAAGTTATAGTAATCGCAAAAAAATCGAAAATGAAAATTTTTGCATTTCTCGACGTTTCAAAACCTTCTGAACATTTTGGCATACCTTAGAAAAAATGGATGTATGTGTGTGTGTGTGTGTGTGTGTGTGTGTATGTATGTATGTATGTATGTATGTATGTATGTATGTATGTATGTGCGTGTGTGTATGTATGTGCGGATACAAATTTTCGTCGACGATTTCGGGAACACGGATCAACCGATTTGAATAATTCAAAAAACATTCGATTCGTATTGATAAGGAGACGTGCTGATTAGTTTTTGGCAAAGGCAGGTCTAGCCGTTCCGAAGATACGGGGCAAAAAGTGCCAAGAACGGTACCTCCTTTTTTAAGAGAACGGAGCGTCCGATTTGAATAATTCAAAAAACATTTTACTTGTATTGACAAGATGTAGAATTGATCAAATTTTCATGGTGGCAGGTCTAGCGGTTTCGGAGATCTAATAATAAAAGTAAAAAATAATGCCATTCGGCGGTTAAAAATTATCATTAGACATATGCACATCAAATTATCAGATATTTTATAGAGATTTTAACAATAAGTATATTTTTTTTTTACATTTTTGGGGGTTCCGTACCAATGCTTATGCGTTAGACGGCGGCGCGGCACATGCGCGCTTTGACATTTCGTCTCTATGCAGTTCAAGCAGTGCGATTGCTTTGAAAAAAAAGTTCAGAATTTCCAAAATATGCCAAAATGAAGAAAACATTTTTTTCAAAAAAATTTTTTGTATCCAAAAAAAAAATTTTTTTTCAAAAAAAAATTTTTTTTTTCATATAATTTTTTTTTCAAAAAAAAGTAATTTTTTGTCAAATTTGTAGTTTCTCAAATCTATTTTTTTTTAATTAAATTTTTTTCAAAAATGTTGATCGTTTTTAAAAAAATAATAATTTTTGGTACGGGAAGTTTCAGCAATTTGCCTTAAGGCACGATGCCCTAATTGCCTTAAGACAGAATTCCACTTACAGCTAGTTTAAGATAATAAAAATACCGGTAATTTACCGGTATTCCGGCTTTAGAATGAAAAATTGCCGAAATCCCGGTAATGAAATTTTCCATCAGTAATGCGTTCCCTATATATAACTATTTGCACGAATTCATAGTAAATTTTATCTAGTTTGTGCTAAGCTAACTAAAAAAAAGTAACACGTACAAAGTTTTTGAGATATTCAAAGGAATGTAGAAAAATGTCCCAAAAAAATACGTAAAATTTTAGCATTTTTCCTTAAGTCCATTAATTTCCCACCTATTTTCTACTCCCGACCTTCAAACTTCCAGCCAAAAGTTTGGTCACTTTCCCAACTTATCCTTCCCGAAGTGCCCTATATGTCTCCGTACGATATTTACCCTGCGTGTTGCATTTCCGCCCCACTTCGAGAGCGATCGGTGCGACGGTGCGACGGTGCGATCGCCCCACTACCGGCGGCTCGCACCGAAAACGTCAAACGAATTTCGGACTTCAGTTGGCCGCGTGCATTTCAACGGAACGAACATATATAAATTGATATAGTCGACGAGGAGCCGGAAGACGAAGTATCCTCGGAAATAATTATAAAAGACAATTAATAAAAATTTATAGTTAATATATAAAAGACTGTTGGTATATTCATAGGATCTTTAAAATTTTATTTAAACCTTTGTGAAATAGTCCTGCCGACTTGTGTGTGCTTGTAAACAAACCAAACGGTGCCGACAAAAAACGTGTCCTCGATTAACAAAATTTGTCGCTTTTAGTGCAAAATATATTACCACTAAAAGTAATTATATTTGTGTAATTTCCTCCAAAACTGTCTAATTATTGTTTGTGTTGGTGTTTGCAAAATTTTGGCTTGATTGGTTTTTTGGAGATTTCCAGGAGTTTTGCTCTAAAAATGGGTAAGCAATCAAAATTTGTTACTTAAACACCTTAAAATACTTAAATCGTTTACTTACAATTAGATTAAACACATAAAATAATTTATCGATAAAATAACGATTTATTAATTTAACGATGTCCTTGAAGGATTCTGAATTCGTCCAAATCAGTACATCTATTTGTTATAATATTATAGTTTTGGTTTTTAGAAGACACATCGTTAATTTCACATTGAAAGTCAATATTCATGCATTTTTTTAAATTTATTTGTTATTATTACATTTATTATTATTATTAAGGAATATTATATTTTTGGAGTATAGGATTAGAAACAAAAACAAAACAAATAGTAGGAACAAATACAAATAATATATACAAATATTCAAAATATTTTGTATTATATTAAAAAAAAAAATATATATCCATAGCAGAATAGCTTATAAAATTTTATGTAATTTTGATTGCTGTTTATTAATTAATAAAAAAAATTAAAAATACGATTTTGGTCCCCTGTACTATATTTTTTTAATTTTCTTATAAATTACAATCTGTCTAAATAGAAAACATTGAGTAATTAGTTTAACAAATAACATAGAATTTTAAATGGAAAACCCAGTGGTTCACCTTTTATTAATATTTATTCATTTATTTATTTATTAATATTTTTTTATTAATATTTTGTATTATATTAAAAATACGATTTTGGTCCCCTGTACTACATTTTTTTTATTTTTTTATTTTCTTATAAATTACAATCTGTCTAAATAGAAAGACATTGAGTAATTAGTTTAACAAATAACATAGAATTTTAAAAGGAAAACCCAGTGGTTCACCTTTTATTAATGTCCCAAATTATATCTTAATTAAATTTTAGTATAATATATTTGTTATAATATTATTGTTTTGGTTTTTGGAGGGTACATCGTTAATTTCACATTGAAAGGGCAATATTTATGCATTTTTTATAAAAAAAATTCTTACTATTACTAGGATATCATATTTTTTTTGTAGTACATGATCAGAAACAAAAAACAAAACAAATAATATATAAAATATTGAAAATATTTTGTATTCTATTAAAATGCGATTTTGGTCCACTATTGCACCATATTTCATCTTTTTTTTTTAAATCAACTTGGTCCACTGTACTACATATAGTACACCAAATGCACCAAGGCAAAAATGATGTAACACGTCGTCCTTATTGTATTATTATAATTTTTTGCCATATTTAATTCAAAATAGTAAAAATTACATATAAAAATTACAAAATTCTGTAATCGTTTATGAACCCAATGTACTATATTTAGTACGTCGATTGCACCACATTTTATTTTAGTAATAACTTTTGTACTTTCTTCTGTTTATTATAATTTGATGTCATAATAAAACCAAAATAAAAAAGACTATATTTATTATTTGGCTTTATTGATTTTTGGGAGATTTGTAAGAGTTTTGCTCTAAAACTGCGCAATCAAAATTTTTAACACCATAATTTTAGACACCAATAGTTTTTTTTATTTTTGTAAAAAATCTAAATTCTACATCGATAAATTATATACAATTAATATATCGGTGATATCAAAGGTGTCCTTGAACAATATAATGAAATTATCGATGATTTCAAAAGTGTCCTTGAAGGATTTTAAATTTGCACAAACCAGTACAAAAATTTGTAAAGTAGTTTATGTATTTTTAAATCTAATCAATTATATATACATATATGTATATAGTTTGTTTTAAATTTCAATTAATAATTAATGATTTCAATTCGATATTTGCGAATGAAAAAAGTTGATTATTTAATATTGTATTGTTAGTAGAAAAGGATATTATGTTTTTGTGGTGAAATTTAATATTCATGGATTTAAAACGTTTTTCTTCATATATGTTATATTTATGTTACTAGAGAAGGATATTTATGTTTTTGTGGTACACGATTTGAAAAAGCACTTAAAAACAAATGCTGGGAAAAAATACATACAAATACACTTACAAACAATTTTTTGTAGTTAAATTTAAGCTTTTCTGTAAGTTTAAGAAAATCTTAATCGAAATTCTGTAAAAACATTTATTGACTGAAATCAGAATGAAAAATTATTCGGTTAGTAAATGTGGTAGAAGGGTGAAAATTTAGGGCTGTATGTATTTTTGAATTTGGTCGAGGTCCTGGTTACTTCTATTAAAAAATATTTTATATTTTGATGAAATGAAAAAAAAACATCTTTTTGCAAATTTGTTTATATATTATCTCATTTATCCCACTGGACTGTAGTTAAGTATAAATTATTCATTTTTTTATTTAGAAAATAGCTTTGGTCGAAAATGCTAATTTTTTTTCAAAACTTGAATTTGTTTGCATTTTTAAGTGAGCAACGTTTATTAAAAAATAATTAAAATAGGGCGTTATTTTGATATTAGAAAATTCAAACGACAATTTTCATATGCAAACTTTATTGACCCACTGTACTGTATATATAAATTTCATTATTTTTTCAACAAAGTTTCGAAGTAGTATATATAAATTTCATTATTTTTGCAACAAAGTTCCGAAGTTTTGTGATTCACTACAATAAATAAACAAAAAATATTTCTAATTTATTTATCTTTTTTATCAAAGTTTCTACTAGAAAGTTTGCCAAGCCACCTGTACTATATATAGTATAACTTTTGTTTAATTTAATTAGTCCATATAATGAAATTTCTAATACTTTCAACTAATATAAATATCATATCAGAATTTTACAGTTCGATGATTTGTTATTTGTGAAAAATATGTATGTCGTCACCGATGTGTGACGTCACATTGTTTAGGGTCTGTCACCATGGTAACGGACTTTATGATGAATATGATATCAATTGAACCAGTTAATAAAAAATAAAATAAAATAAATATAAATATTATAATCGACTTATTACCCCCGATGGAAAAATCCTTGTTTGTTTATCTCAAGATAAATTGATGGGTTTTTTTTTCTTGAGATGTTGTTTTAATACAATTTGTTTCGAACAATGTTTGTTTTTGTTTCCGACGATTTGCCACACAAGATGCAGAAATACAATTACTTTTGATTTGATGCAAAATCATTGATTTTATTCGCAGCTTCGCATTTGTTTTGCAAATGAGAGAAAAAATATAGGAGGAAAATCATTATATATATATATATATATATATATAGATTTTTTATAAATTCCCTTTTAACAAAATTCCACCTGTCAACAGAAAACTTAACATAATTTCTCTTAATTGGTTTTTAATTAATAAAGTGTGCCCGCCATCACCTTTCCATATAATTAATTTCTAATTTCTCAGATCGAAGGTGGAGATAACAAAAATACTTTGGCACCTAAAAATTTCAAAGAAAAATGATAAAATTGAATTAAAATGGACGAAATATCATAAATTTAATTTTAAAATTTAATATAAAATTCATAAAATTAATTTAAAATAGTAAGAATCTTAAGTATTTTAAAAAATGTGTGGTATTGTAGTTAAGACCAGAATTGATAAATTTTGAAGTTTTTAGACAACTTTAATTTTTCTTGGATTTTCTTAAATTATTTGTTTTAGTAGCAACTTTTTACAGTACCAATTTTTATTTAAAATAATACACAAATCTAGATCATATAAAAAATATAATATTACCTTATACTTATCTAAAGTCTGGGATTAATATTTTGATCGACGTTTTATGGTTTTATTTCTATTTTTTAATACTTTTGATAAATGTAGAGAAATTATGGTTTTGACTTTTTTCAGGATAAAAAATTAACTAGTTGCTAATAAAATTTGTTTTTTTAGTAATTTATATATATACAATGAGCAAAGTCCTTATCATAGGGATGAAATTTATCCCCGAAATAAATGAAATTTTTTATTATCATCAATCTAATATGATATTATGATATATTTAGAAAACAAGTTAATTTTATTACTTTATGGTATAAGTTATAGTAATCACAAAGAATCAAAATGAAAATTTTGGCAAAAGTCTTCTGAACATTTTGGCATAACTTAGAAAAAATTCATGTGTGTATATGTATGTTCGGATACAATTTTCCGTCCACGATTTCAAGAGCATGGATAAACCAGCTTGAATGATTCAATAAGAAACATATTTATATATAATATAACTTCATTTCAAGAAGAAATAGAACAGAAAACATTTTTATTTGAGTTTAATGGTGAAACACAAAACAATGAAAATAAAAAATATAATATTAAAATATTATACTATTCGGTACGTTTCGACGCCAGGTATGTGTCATCATTCAGCAGTTTTAAAATAACTTACAATAATTATAAAGTAGATAAGAAAAAAATGATTAAACATTTAAAAAAAAATTGTCATATATCTTTACGTTTCAAAAGTTTTCTGAACGTTTTAGCATACTTAGAAAATTGGATGTGTGTGTGTATACGTATGTGCAGATAATTTTTTTTGTCGACGATTTGAATGATTCAAAAAACATTCGTTTTCTATTGACGTGCTGATTAGTTTTTGGCAAAGGCAGGTCTAGCCATTTCGGAGACATGTGGCAAAAAGTGCAATAATGGAAATTAAGTTTTTTTTAGAGAACTGAGTATCTGATTTGAATGATTCGAAAAACATTATACTTGTATTGACGGAAGGAAGATTTGACTAAGTTTTTGGGAATCATGTCCAAAAGTTCTGGAGATCCAAATTAAAATGTAACAAAAATGGCATTGGTGCCTTTGCAATGTCATAAACCAATTGCAAAAAACGTTGCTGTTTTAAGTTTTGAAGTTAAGGGGCACAACTAGTGCGAAATTTTCAAAAAATCGAATTTTTAATTTTTCCATATTTCGATAGGTTATATCTTTAAAAATAACATACCAAATTTTAAAATCGATACCTTAAATAGTTTTTGAGTCACAGCCATTTAAAGAGTATATTTATAGTATATAGTGTAACGATCATTTTATCTTTAAACTCGTTTTTCTCGAAACAGCATTTTCCGAATTCGTTGCAGTGATTACTCAAAAACAAATGACCCG